CCCCCCCCCCCACCCACACACACACACCCAGAACGTGGATGCTGAAGTCTCCCAGCTCTAGCATTTCCAGCTTGGAAATGAGGTCAGGCACCTTGAGTAAAGATGCTGCTGGGCAGCAGGATGGGCAATATACCACCAGCACACCTAGCTTATCCCTAACTTCCAGCTTCACACAAAGGATATATTGTGACATTGATCGATATTGTTGGTCCTCCTTTCCCTTGCAGGGAGCGATAATGAACTCTCAAGCGGTACCGGTGATGTATCAAAAGATTGCCCAGAGAAGATCTTGTATTCTTGGGGAGAGTTGTTGGGACGATGGTAAGAATTAATGAGGAAATGTTTTAAACTACCTTTTTAAAGAGACTTTCATAATTACAGAGTAGGAAGACTATTAATAAGCTTTTTTTAGAATCATTTAATTCAGATATGCAGAATCTCAGTCCCAATGTTGCAAGCTCATCGTGGAATACCTTCTATTTTCATCAAACTATAATTTTAAAAGACCGAAAGGAAAATTATCATACCAATGGAGGGTAATCTTATTAACTATATTTAATAATGTAATTCTAATGAAGTATAAATTACATTACTTTGTTCTGGCCCTGCTCATTTTTGGGAATATAAAAAGAGCTGCACAATTGTGTGGAGTCCTTTGTAAATAAATGAAAACTAAATAGATAAATGCTGGATTACATGTTGCATGCAAGTTGTATGCTTTTTGAATTTTTGCATTTTTAGTAGGTTAGATTTCATTGAAAAAAAAACCAGATTAGTTTTATGATTGTAGAGATTAAGTCTGAATGAGCTTTCTGTCGCTTCCAGTACTTTCAAAATGTTGGCCTTTTTTTTTTTTTCCATAGGTTTGTGGTGGATTAAAGAACAAAATAAGTAAGCCTCGTGGAGTTTTAACACACCAATTGTGTACTTTTTCAGTCTTCCCAACAGTAAATTGCACCATCAGAATTGGCAGTTTTGCTGCTGAATTTCAGTAGTGCAATCTAGAGTTACTTTGGGAGCAACCAGTGGGGGGTCCTGCTGTAAATTAGTATTGAGGTATCTGGTTCATTTAGTTAAACCTATAGGGATGTTGCTGTATAGGACAGCCTATTCCTTAGTTTCAAGATTGCTTGGAATGTGTCTTCCTCCTTGTGACCTATTGATTAGAAACATCTTTAAGTGGCAAGAATAGTTTGAAGTACATTCAAGGATATGTTAGTGTATTCAGTGGAGGTAATGATGTAATAACCAGGAGCCTTAACTCAAGAATGAACCATCTTCTTTGGCCCAAAGGCTGATTTTAGTTTTCTCTGACACACTGAGGTTCTCCTGAAAGGTAGAAAGCAAGTAGATGTACCAAAATGGGAAAGTATTTGTGGCCAGAGCATTAAAAGTTGCAATATAAAAAGTAATGAGAACTTAGTAAATGAAAAAATAGATCTTCTTCCTTTGGAGTTGGCCATTGAGCTATTACATAAAGGTTCAGAAGAAGAGCCTGAAAGCTTAGTGAGGTAGGATAGTACAGCCTCATATGTACTTTTGCCTATCACTGTTCAGTATCTTTTTTTCTGAAAAGATTTAAAATTCTATTTAAAACAATAACACACTTGTTTCATCATTAGCTGAAAAGATGACAGATCAGTTTCAAAATATCTCATATTGAATTAAATATTTTAAAATTGATCTTTGAGTATTAAATTAATACTATAATGGATGTTTTCTTTTTAGTCTTGGGAGTGCCATAGTACCTTGGTATCAGGTAATAAATCCTATATATTGTTTATAGAAAGAAGAATAGGAGTAAGGATGATAAATTATATGTACAGTTTCTTATTTTTCAAAGTAGATATTTCACTTTTAATTAGTTTTTCTGTCTAAATACTGTGCATGTTGTTGGCTAAGTTTATAATAATAATTTATATTGTATTTAAAAAGTACACAGCACAAAAATAAAGGAATTATCAATTGAATTTGAATAATTAAAATACAAAGTAGAAACATTAAAACCTAGGCAGCTCTACATCTAAGGGAATAATGAAATACCAAACAGGTAACCATTATACAGTGAAAAGGATAGATATACTAGACCCTATAAAACAGTGACAATATTATCATCATTATCAGCCTGAATCATTCATTGAAGATTGTGGACTGTAATCTACCATGCTGGTCTAATATGGATTGGAAGATAGATGTTTTTCAATGTCCTAGTCTAGAGATAAGAGAGAGTGAGTAGCCCGAGGTCACCTACCCAGCTTCTGCGCCTAAAGGAGGACTAGAACCTGGTTTCTGCTGCTTCTAATCCAGCCCCTTAACCACTATATCACGCTAGATCTCATTAACAATATATAACCAATTAAATCAAGTAAAATTGAAAAATACACAACATAAATGCCAGAGAGGCCAGTCATTGAGCTACAAGTTACAAATCAGAGGAGTATCACTTTTCCTCAGAATCAAACAAAAAAGTTTTAAGCCCTGATTTAAAGACTAAAGAATTGTCTGTCTTCCAAAGAATTCTCTGCAGCCAGCCCTTCCCTTCTTTTGGTCCTCCTCAGGTGTCTAATGGACCCCATTGAGTTTCAGAGGGAACTTGGACTTTCCCTGAAGTTCTTAAGCACAGTTCAACCAGGCCCTTGTCACCACCTAGAATGAAGGGGCAGCCATGGCCTTGAATTGGAACCAGTTGCACCTGCTGGAGAAAGCAAGTATTGAATCTAACTGAGCATGGATAAGAGGCTTTTAAAGGATGACCTTGTGGTGATAAAAGTGGCAAAATGTAACTATTTTTCCACTGTCATGGTGTCCATAGACTGTCCAGCAGTCTTGTTTAGAGTAATTCCAGCCTTCAATTTTTAGGCTTACAGCTCCAGAAGGACCTGGAGGAAATGGATCACGTGGGTTTCAGGCTGGGATATAGTACTAAGATGGTATTGATTATACTTAAAAGTGACCTTTGGCAGGACCAGGATGGAGATAATGCATCCATCCTAGTCCTCTATATTTTCTTGGCAGCTTCAATATCATATATAGAAACATGAGAAGCAGAAAAAAAATCAGAACTGGAAAACAATTTTCCTTATTTTATTTAGGCATAACAATCTTGAAGTGCGACCAAAAGGTCTATCTGCATTGGTGAAAAGGGGTGTTCCAGAGGCTTTGAGAGCTGAGGTGTGGCAATTACTAGCAGGATGCCATGATAATCAGGCAATGTTGGATAAATACAGAATTCTTATCACAAAGGTCAGTGTCTATTTTCTTTGATACAATGTGGCTATATATTTTAAAGCAATAATTTTGTTTTTCAAATAAAGTAAGTTAAAATTATAGTGGGCATACTTTGCTATCTGCTAGGGCATTTCAATGAGGAATGGATCTTGTTTGAATATACGTTTGAAGTGTTCTACATCTGATGAAGTGAGTTGCAACTCACTAAAGCTGTAATAGTATGTGGGAATGACTTTGGGAGACAGGGCAAAGAGATGCAGATGCAGGGAATGGTCAGATAAAAGGTAGCTGACCCTCCTTAGTTTTTGGGGTGTAAAGGGGATGGGGGGAGAGAACTACTTTCAGACTTGCAAGATTCTGTTAATGTAGCTTTACGGTAAACTAGAATTAGCTCATCTGGTCATGTTTCCTGTCTGGTCTACCTCGTAATGCTGACATGAGTCTTGCAAATCTCCTACTCTCTTCCAAAGAGAGTAATTTTAGGAATGGGCTCTGATCCCCAGGGGACACTGCTATCTGCCAAGCATCTAACAGTAGTGTTGTTGCAACGCCAACAGCAGGTAGATGCACAGATGACCAACTTGCAGAATGCCATGATACAACTAACACAACAGCTGGGGCAGAATTTGCCTTAACCCACACCAGCACAACAACTTGCGGCTCAGCCAATGTTCCTGCGTTCCCATGGGAGCTTGCCAGAGAAGTTCAGAGGGAATTAGGGTCAATTCTGGATATTCAAAGCTTAATGTGAAATGTTTATGGCAGGCAGGCCAGTGGAGTTTCCTGCTGATCACACCAAAGTGACTTTTGTGCTAAGTTTGCTAAAGGAAGCAGCAGCTAGAACTAGCAAAGGCCATGTACAAAAAAGCAGCAGATGCACATAGACAAGAGGGAGCTAAAATTGCAAAAGGGGATTTGGTATGGCTTTCTACAAAACTTTTTACTTCCACAAGGACTTCTAAGAAACTTGACTCAAAGTTTATTGGCTCCTTCTCAGTGATTAAACAAATAAACCCAGTAGCATTCCAGTTGCAATTGTCAGCATTAATGAAGGTTCACTCTGTATTCCATTGGTGTTTGCTAGTGAAAGAGGCCATCTCTTGCACTGTGTGCTCACAGGCAACACCCCCCCTCTCATATTGGTAAATGGTGAGGAAGAGTACAAGGTGGAGGCAATGCTAGATTCTAGATGCAGAGGGAAGCGGATTGAATACCTGATCCACTGGAAAGGCTACCCAGAGTTGGAGAGGTCATGGGAGGTAGCAACAGACGTGCATGCGCTGCAATTGGTGTACCACTTGCACGACCAATACCCTAACAAGTCCCATCCTTGGCAGCTACCGGCCTTGCAGGAGTTTGGCACTGACCAAAATGGACTAGAGGTGTTCTTCTATGGGGTGCAGGGAGCCTTGGGGATAACAAGTAAGCGGCAGGGAAAGTGACCCAGCTCCTTCCACATCAGGGATACATGACATGGGGAGGAGCAACAGCTTCCCAGTTGGGGGGCGGCAGTCACCTCTACAGGCACATCTGAGTTGCAGGATGCCTTGTGTGATCTGCAGGAGTTACCAGCAGAAGAGGGGAGCGACATAGCTGCACTTCATTCTCACAGCCTGCAATCAGTTTCCTTTGCGAACTTGGGAGGGGAGGGATAGTTTGAAGGGGAGGGTGATGTAATGGTATGTGGGAATGACTTTGGGAGACAGGGCAATGAGACACAGCTGGTCTACCTTGTAAGGCTGACAAAAGCCTTATGCCTTTTAATAAAATTTGTTGGTTGGAAAAGGTGCTTTCAGATCTTGGGGTACAGAGATTGATTATCCTGAGCAGCTGTTCTAATATGCAATCTCTGATATAATGCAGGATAGCACAGTCCTGCCAGTTAAGGTTCCAATATTGCTCAGGACCATTTTGCTCAAAAGGTTCCCTGTCGCTCACGTTCTGAAACTGTTGACACCTTGTTCCTAGACATTCCTTTTGAAACACCAGTTTTGCCTTTCACCTCCTAACTTTCACCTCCAGCCAGAGCCAGCCTTAAAATTTCATAATGTGAGAACTAGTCCTCACATGGTAACAAGCAAACAACCTGATACCAGACCAATCCATGATCAAAACAAGTGTAATGGGCTGTGACAATAACCTTGAGGAAATGGAGGAAGAGCCGCAGCCAAGGCAATGGTCAGATAAGAAAAATCCGAGCCCAAAGCACGAATGGAATTACAGAAAGCGTCTCAGACTTGAGCCTCCCTTATCCTCTTTAGGATAAAGACAGGGAAGGGGGAGGTACATTCAGAGTTGCAAGATTCTGTTACTGTAACTGTATAATAAAAGTAGTTTTAGTATTCATGATTTTGGCATTCAGGTCTGGTCTACCTCAAAGGGCTAACAAGAGACAGGTAGAAATGAAGGGTGGCTTCTAGTCCATTACACTGAACAAGCAGGAGAGGGGCAAGAATTTGAACCTTCACTTCAGTATAAATAGGGCTTATATTTGATACATAGCAGTTGCTAGAATTCTTTGATAGTGGCTCCATTAGCTTTTCTATACTAAATCTACTTACCTGACTTTTTGTGCCCTTGGAAGTCTGTTCTTTCAGTTTCTTGCCTAGCCATTTGAGAGAAACCTGGAACATGCTGATATCAAAAGCCATCCATTGTACTCTGGAACCCAAGAGCATATAAGACTAGTCCCTGCCTCACTCATTTCCAGGAGGACTAGACTTTTATCACCACAAGTTCTTGGGCCTTGGCCTTGGTCCTAATATCACATGATTACCATCTCAGATTCTATAAGAATGTCCCCTTGTCTCGTCTCATCTGGTGTCAGAAATGCAGGAACTGGGAGATAATTATTAACCTAAATTTTAAAAAATTAAAAACTTTAATAAAAATATAGATTTATATAATTCTTGCCCAGTGCCGGGCCATGTTGATGGCAAATATATTTTTGACCAGCAAGTCATTCTGTGTGCATGTCAGTCCCAAGGGGCACTGCAAAAGATTGGTAATTGTTTGAATAGCGCCACATTCACAATAAATATCCTTGTCCTCAGGAAGAAACCCCCA